TATAGGCTGTAAATCTTTATGAGAGCAGAAAGCCTCATATTTCTCTGACATAGTGGCTAGTTGGCTCTAACTATCCAGTTTGTGGTTAACAAACAAGTGATTATTCTATGGTATCACCAGTGTGCCAAATATATAAATATATTTATTTATACACACACAAATATATAAAAAGAAGACACGGAGGCAGCAGGGAAGAAGCTAGAATTCAAATCTTAGGTGGCGATGGGGCATGGGTGGGGTTGTTTGTTAAAGTGAAGGCAAAAAGCCCTCAAGAATAAGGCAAAGCCCCACATTTGCACCAGCTTCCCAGCAGATTTGAAAAGATTGGAGTACTACCATGACAAGAAAGGTCAGACCACCAGGGGTCAAGAGCATCTTCACAACAAGACAGGTTGGCATGGGAGGGGGTCAGGGCCTAGAGAGAGGACTGTCATCTGGAGTCTAGAGTGCTGGTCCTTGTGGGCCTGGTGATGAGAGGAAAATGCCACTAGTTATGGTCATTCATTGTAAATTCTTTGTGATAGGAAAATAATTAAGTTTAGAGACAACATTGGTACCAACACTGGGCTTAGAGTCATAAATCCTAGATGTGCTTTAAGTTTCACCATCTTTGGCCAGTAAACATATATACAATTATCTTCCATAAAGAAGGACTGGAGTTTGAATCCTGCCAAGGCACTTTACTTCTGTGACTTTGGGGAATGAAGTCTAGCACAGTTTTCCTCTTCTGCACAACAGAGATGGACAACAGTATTGTCTCTGGAAAAAACTGTTGTGGCTGTTACAGAAACAAGTGGATCCCAAAATCATGTCCCATAGCACTCAACACTGGCACGTTATCTTTCTGCCTTTAGATTAGTGGTTCTCTAGACTAACTGAACATTTAGAATCACCAAGAGACCCATTAAAAATACCAGTGCTAGGCTGCATTCCAGACCAATTAAACAGAATCTCTGGAGGGTGGGTAGAACCAAGACTTAGTTTTTTGGTCTTTATTTGTTGAATTTTGTTTTGCTGGGGTTTTTCTAAACTCACTAGTAAATCTGGTCTGCTTTAGACAGTGTGGCAGTTACCATCACCCATCAATTTCTCCATCATTCAGGATTTCAGCCAGAATTAAGGAGTATGTTGTTGTTATTGTGTGCTGTTGCTATACAGACTCACAGTGACTCTGTATAGGGTTTGAGAGTGGCTGGTGGGTTTGAAATGCTGACCTTGACGACCAGTCCAGTGCCTATCCTATAAAAAAAAAAAAAAATGTAAAAAAGAGTTTACTGTAAAGACTTCAGAACTGTAACTGCCCAGACATAGCTGGGTAATGGTCATTCCTCACTTTCCTCCCTCTTTAGGACTACTTCCCAGCACCCCAGCCTCCTGCCATGTCTGACCCCATCACCTTGAACGTTGGGGGCAAGCTCTACACAACTTCCCTGGCAACCCTGACTAGCTTCCCAGACTCTATGCTGGGCGCCATGTTCAGCGGGAAGATGCCCACTAAGAGGGACAACCAGGGTAACTGCTTCATTGACCGGGATGGCAAAGTGTTCCGCTACATCCTCAACTTCCTTCGGACCTCCCACCTGGATTTGCCTGAGGACTTCCAGGAGATGGGCCTGCTCCGAAGAGAAGCCGACTTCTACCAGGTGCAACCCCTGATCGAGGCCCTGCAGGAGAAGGAAGTGGAGCTCTCCAAGGCGGAAAAGAATGCCATGCTCAACATCACACTGAGTCAGCACGTGCAGACAGTCCACTTCACTGTGCGTGAGGCACCCCAGATCTACAGCCTCTCCTCCTCCAGCATGGAGGTCTTCAATGCCAACATCTTCAGCACCTCTTGCCTCTTCCTCAAGCTCCTTGGCTCCAAACTCTTCTATTGCTCCAATGGCAATCTCTCCTCAATCACCAGCCACTTGCAAGACCCCAACCACCTGACTCTGGACTGGGTGGCCAATGTGCAAGGCCTGCCAGAAGAGGAATACACCAAGCAGAACCTCAAGAGGCTTTGGGTGGTACCTGCCAACAAGCAGATCAACAGCTTCCAGGTCTTTGTTGAAGAAGTGCTGAAAATTGCCCTGAGTGATGGCTTCTGCATTGATTCTTCTCACCCACATGCTCTGGATTTTATGAACAATAAGATTATTCGGTTAATAAGGTACAGGTAAAAGAACACTAGCGACACTGGAAGGCTGGGATCCCAAGACTTACCATGTTAGCCAAGATCTCAGAAAGAGTCTTACCAGTGGTGTGAGGCAGTGATACTAACATGTCTTAATCACGTAGCAGGAGTTGATTCCCCTCATGAGGTAGTCCACCTTTTGGCATTCATGTGTCCTCTGAACACAAAACCCTTTTTCTTGCTGTTTTAAGCTGGAGATGGGCAATTTATTGTAACTATGAAGTGTCAGCTGACATTTACAAGGGAGACCACAGAGACTTTCAGACTGGGACAGAGGAATAGCAGGTTTTCACAGCTTCCGTCTCTCTCTGGACCATTAGCCAGTGCCTCAATTACCTGTCTATAAAAGGGTCCCTGGTAGAGGGGATAGGATGAGCATAAGAGGATACAAAGTACCCAGTGATTCCCATCACCCCTATTCTTGGGCTATATCCAGGACCTTAGACTTGTTACCCAGGGAATGACCTTGTTTGGTTCCTTGGAAATGCATTCTCAGGGCTATGCTTGTGGCCCCTGCATGAGAGAGATTTGAGCTGTAACATGGCCTAGAGGACCAAGCTCTAGGCAGGCTTCAGAAGGTAGGGCTGTCCCTCTTAACTGGCCAAATCTAGGCCTTTGGAGGTTTCTAGCTTCAGAACTGGGCTGATGTTCATATGAAGATCTCCAAGTGTCTGGAGTCAGTGTGATGATAGGCTCTTCATAATCTGAAGCAGGTCATTATTAGTAAATAAATCATGGACTCTCAGGGATGGAAAAGAATTCAAAGGTCACTGAGACCTCCCCTGTCCCCAGCATACTGATGAGCACCATTTGAGGGTGATGAGCACATCTCACTGGGTGCCTCCCAAGTAGTCACCTATCCTTGTTCATAGACCTCCAGTGATGGGCAGTTTGCCATCCTCAAGGCAGGCCCTGCCATGCCTGGACAGCGCCCTTGACTGTTAGAAAGTTCTTTTATTTGAGCTAAAAGCTGCTCTCCTGACACTTCCATTTGCTGGTCTTGGTTCCAGGCCTTCCTTTACACCTAAATGTGTGTCGTCTCTTTGAAAAGAATTATCTTGAGGCTAAACACTTATTCTGAAAATATTACTCAGAATTCAGCTTTCCCTTTGGGATGTGTCTTCAGAACCAAGTTAGCTCCCTTCCATCATCTGTAAGCTAACCCATCACGTTAGGGTTCCACCTCATTTATGATCTCCATTTTACCCATCTCCCTCACTAGTCATGGCTCTACATACTTCTTGGCTATTTTCTTATGGAAGATGAAGATTTGATGCCCCTAAGGAGATCCAGTCAAGGGTATTGAAGGACAGTATGCAGCAAGGAATCCATGGGTGGTCTGAACAATATAGTGCCCTTGGAGAAAGTATCCATCCCCAAAGATACTGCTCTGAAGGAGGTGGTCTTCTCCCTGAATCACTGTTTCTGGACATAACTGATTCATGAGTTACCTTGGGGTAAGATCCAGGCCGAGTAGTATCAAGCCACCACTTTCCAGAGGGTGCTGAGCAGTGCAGGCTTCAAAACTGCATATTATGATGCATCTCTGGAGCAAGTCAGTATAGCTTTGGTAGTGCCCAGAGTCTCCCCTACTGGGGAGGGCAACTCAGACAAAGCCCGGGAATCCTGGTGACATAGGTACCCACAGGAGATAGGACAAGCAAGGGGCTTTTGGGTGCTTGGCCTTTGGCAAGACTGGGTCTCTTAGGCAAGAAAGACCTTTTCCCCAGATCAGTGGCGTTCATAGGTCTATGTGACAGCTCTCCCAGGCCACCAGGCTGACAGTACTCAGGAAAGTCCCTTAGAAAAACCCAGTTTAGACGAGACAGCTGAAGCTGTGACCACAGTCAAGCAGAGCTTGGAAAAGAAGCTTCATCCGTTCCCTGCTGCCCTTCGTTTCTCTCCATAAAGCTTCTCTTTCTCTGTCTCTTCGGTGCTTCCTAATTCAAGCAGCTTGACTTTAGAGAAATTACTGGATCTGTGAAGCCACTAATGTGCTATGTGACTTCACGCAAGTCACACACCTCACTGAGCCACCTCAGTTTCTTCATCTGTGAAATGGGCATAACAATAGTGCATAACCCTGCCTACCTCACAGGGCTGTTGTGAGGATCAATCCTGACATCATGTATGTGATAATGAGTATAAATGGTAAGCATTAACTATTTTGTGTCTGCTTAAAAGGGGACATTGGTGACTCAGTCTTCCAATTCTCACCTTCCATGTAGGAGACGTGGGTTCAATTCCAGGCCAATGTACCTCTGCACAGCCACAACCCATCCACCTGTCAGTGGAAGCTCGCATGTTGCTATTTTTCAGAACAGGTTTCAGCCAGGGCTTTGAACGGGTTCATGCCAGTGACAGTGAAACCCTCTGCTGAGAACTTCCATTTCTAGCCCAGACATACTGAGTCAGAGTCTTCATATTAACACAGCCCCCAGATGATTCTTACGTAAATGAAAGAATCTGTATGTAAGGATCTGTAAGAATCACATAGGGGTCCTGTTAAAATGTAGATTCTGACTCAGTATGACTGGGGTAGAAGCGGAGTTCAAAGCCCTAATTCCTAGCGAGGGTCTGGCACACTGTTGTCAGAGCAGCCCCATGTGACAGAGTAGAACTGCCCTGTAAGTTTTCTTGGCTGTCATTGTTATGCTCTGATGGTGCAAAGGTTTACCACTGGACTGCTAACTGAAAGGTTAGTGGTTCAAACCCACCCCGCAGCCCCACGAGAGAAGAAACCTGGTGATCAGCCCCTACAGATCAGTCTAGTAACGCTCTGGAAGTTCGGCTCTCTTTCATGGGGTCACTATAAATCAAAATCATCTCACCAGCACCTAACAATAACAATACGTCTTCATGGGACAGATCTCCAGCTGGGAAGGTTGGAACTGCCGACAATCACCCTTTAGCAGCCAGGTGCTTGAGCTCTGCACCACCAGGGCCTGGCGCCTAGTGGTTCAATAAATGTTTACTCTTTCAGGAGGAAGGAAGGACTGCTGGATGTGGGTTGGGAATCTCAGGAGAGTACAAGTTAATAAACCCTCATGGAGCACTAGGGGTGTGGTCCCTGAGGGTAGGAACTGCCAAAATTCGGATGCTTCTGGAAAGAGCTTGGAGTTCACCCAGAGTGCTGTGGAAACTTAAAGAAAGAAAGCTCAATTCTTAAAAAGGACTTTATGGATGGTTAAACTGGGTCTTTGAGGGTAGACTGGGCTTTGACAGAATAAGCTAAAGAGGGCACGTGGGATACAGAAAGGAGCAAGTGCTGAGGCCTGAAAGCCAAACAGCAGATGGTGATTGCCGGCAGGGGGCGTGTTCACGCACAGCCGCAGAACAAGGGAGCCCTGTGCCGAGCAGACCCTCATCCACAGTGAGAATGACATGTGTGCAGGCAGTGCCAATACAGTGGACGCACAAGTGTGAACTCGGAGGCACGTGGCCTTTTCGTCAGCCCCTCAGTGCCCTCTGTTTTTGTCCTAGGTGTAGTCCCAGGCTTGCAGAGGGACTACCGGCGAGGGTACTCCCAGCAACCTGAAGGCGCTTAGTGTGATCACTTCATGAGGACTCTCAGCAACCTGTCTCAGGCGCTACTTCCTGTGACTTCATACCTAACCCCTAGCAGAGACCAAAAACTCTGTCCTGTTAGGAAGGACCACACCTTGTGAGCCTATGGGCCGGAGCTCCCTGTGCATGGCTGAGCCTGGTCACGTGATGCCTGCAATAGTCCCTCCACTCAGCACTGCATCCTCAAACATAGGACTTGTGTAATTGCCCTTTGTACACCCTAAACTTCCAGCTTGCTTTTGTAAATCACTCCTAAACAGGCTTCTGTGAAGGGGGGCTTGGCCAAATTCCACTTTGGACCAATTTCTTGGCTCATGTGGCTAGAGCACCTGCCAGTCCCTTTCCTAAATTTCAGTTTCTTCACACTGACACTGCCCATGTCTGCCTGTGTCCCAAGTTGCTCAGGGCTGATAAGGAGCAGCTGACAGAGCAATGAGGTTTCATGTCATCTTGCTGAGCAAAAACAACGTTGATAACAGGCCCATCAAAGAGAAGAGCCTAGGCTTGTTTACAGACCCTATAGGGTCCTTGTTCTGACACCTGTGACCACCCACACAGCCCAGATAACCTCGGTCTCCCTCAGAACCTTGGGTGCACGGTATGACCAAGCGGAGCTATGGAGACAGTTAGGGGTCAGAGACTAACAGGGTTCTTGAGAAGAAAAGTCTGCCTGTGGAAGGCAGAGGATCACTAAGCAATAAAAGTACCCAGGACTCAGTCTGACACCAAAGGATAATGAAACAGTCTCTGCCACACTGCAGTCCCACTCTGGCATTTAGCGTAAGAAGTCCTTACTTGGCCTGACCCTCACTTCACCCTCCTTTCCTTGGTCCCATTTCCCATCAGCTCCCTGCCCTCGCCCACCCCACCCCCACCCACAAATAAACAGGGCATTTCAAAGCCCTTGTCAACATTTCCCATTTAGCTGGCAGTTCTTGAGTGTTTTGACCCATTTTCTCTCCTAAGCCAGATCCCTCTGTAAAACTAGGTTCTCTTTTTCTGTGGAGTCTGGTAAAGCCTATTTGAGCAGCATTAGAAATATTCAAAGGGATCTTGGTAGCTGAAGAACCAAGATTAATAACATGGACACTTTCTCTCCAATCCCAATTAACCCACTTTATAAACCCCATATTAGATTTGGTTAATAAGAATCCTTTTTTATTTTTTTAAAGTTTTTATTGTGAATTGAGTGATAGTTTACACTGGAGAACACTGGTTTTTCCATTGCAATGATTACAGTCTCCTCTGTGCATCATCATTCAACAGCATTTGCTTTTACTCCCTCTGGTGTTTTTTGTTTTTTTTTGGGGGGGGGTGGACGGGAGGGGTGTACACAAAAACACTCAGGAATATATAATAATTTAAACAACCAAAGGGCACATTCTGCAAGCCTGACTCCTGGCTGCCAGCACCAAGTACCTTGCTTTCCATGAGTCCAGAGCTGCTCCCTCTCTCCATGTCCTCATCTCTGCCGCCTCTCTGAATAAGGTTCCACATTCTGCTCATGCTCTTCTCCCTTGATTGTCCTAGAGTCCTCTGTTTCTGGAATGTAAGATTAACTACTCCCCCCTTTATGTTACAAAACTTCTACTTTTACAGTTGTTACAAAACTTCTACTTTTACAGTTGTGATACTCAGAGTTAGTCATGATAACAAT